ATCTTTTTGCATGCTTATTGGCCATTTGCATATCTCCTTTTGGGAAATGTCTGTTCAAATTTTTGCCCATTAAGAATTTTATTTGTATACTGAAGGTAAATAAGTTTTCAAAAGAAAGTACAGAATTTGGAGAAATCTGTAAGTTGGAGAGTGCAGAGGGGAAAACAAGACAGACAGGAAGCTCAAGAGAGCTGACAGGTTCATCGAGGTGGCCACAGCCTGTGATCTCGGCAGTTCTTAACCAGGGTAACTAGCTCTCCAAGTCTGCCGGCAGCTGACCCAGTCTAAGCACTGAAAGGTCCTGTGTCTTTGTTAACACATCAGTCCTAAGCAAACCAGCACGGTTGGTCCTATAGAATTATCTGTAAGGAATTTGCAAACTGTATGCCTGAAGTCATTAGACCAATGAGGGTTTTGCTGCCAGCAGAGGCGAGACTGTTAGTGTGAATGAATTCTGAAAGGCCACAAGCTCCTCACCAGGGGCCAACTCAGTGTAAAATATTGGTCTTCTGGCTCCCAGCCCTCTGCTCAGAAGTCCGTAGCTCACTTGTGACATAAGAATTTAGGGACACTGGGAAAGTTCTCTCCTACTGCCAGAAGAAGAGAGAACAAACAGAAACCTCCAGTGATTGGTTTTTTTTTTTTTTTTGGACAATGATTTGTTTTGAAATTACAAGTACTGTGAACTCATTTATTTGGCTTAATGTTTTAGATTTTCTAATCAAATGCACTTGTGCATGGAAGAACCAAGATATTTTCTTACTAGTCATTTACACTTTAGTGTAAAAGACTATATAAAAAGCCTTTCCTAAGAACACAGTTTGGTTTGAGAAAAAGTAGTGATAGGAAAGTTCTGGGTGCCAGGGTGAGGGGGCTACCACTAGGGAAGAAAAAGAACAAACATTTGACAGAATTGGGAATGAGTGATGAAATTCATCGACTTAGTGTTGTGTATAAGGTTTGTGTTGCTTGGCAGAGAAGTGTATGTAACTACACAGAAGAGGAGAATAAGAGGGTCAAGAGGGAAGGAATTATTTCCCTTCCTTTGTGTGGTGCTAAGGAAGAGGTTGAGCTTTGATCTATCTATTGATTTTATGTTTTGTATACTCCTATAGCTCTTGACTCATTTATAAAATGTCCCTGTGTTAGTTATGTCTTGTACCTTGTTTTAGCCATTGTTGCTACTGTATAACATAATCACAGTCATCTTTTGTTTTACATCACCCTGGAGGAGCTAGATGGAGTGTCTGGTTATAGATAATGTTACTGCTCTGTTTTCATACACTGTCTTTCTTTTGAATAACTCCCAACATATTATGACATTTTTCTTTCTAATGATTATTAAATGTCCTCAGCATGCACAGTGCTGTTGAAAGGATATAAAAGACACAATTCCCTCCAATAAGGGACATGCATATTAACAAATGAGAGATATAAACATCCTTTTATGTATATGTGTATATATATATATGTGTACATGTATGTATATATATATAGTTTCTGGGAAGTTTTTTTGTTTGGATGAGGTAGAGTAATTGAACTAATGCACCTGCTCCATAGCTGTTGTATTGCAAAAAAAAAAAAAAGCTGTGTGAGCTTACAGCCTTCAGAACCACAACCCTGGCATAGTTGGTCCTTCAGTTACAATTAAACCATTGTTGCTGAAATTAGCCTTAATTGAATAGCTCTGTGATTTTCATCCAGGCGTCTATTATGATTCTGTGAGATGGTGTAATAGAGGGAGCTGGCCTGGGCTGGGAGTTTTTCAGACTTCGGACTTGAGGTGAGACATGAAGGGTGAGCAAGAGGAAGCAAGGTGGAGGGGATGGAGGTAGGGGAGGAGGCCGCAGGGATTGGGAGCAGCAAGCCCGATGCCGTCAAGGAACTGAAAGAAGGCCAGTGTGGCTGGAGTCCAGAGAACTGCAGGCAGATGTGACTTGCGGTGAGGCGCGAGAGGGCGGCGTGCCGATCACGCCTGCGCTACAGGTCAGGGTAGGATCATGGTCTTTCCTCTGTGAGTTAGGTGGGTCCTGTGGACTAGTTCCTGGCACAGCATAGATGCTGATATGATACAATGATGGTAATGTACTTTAAAAACTATATTATGAACTAATATTAAATATTACTACTTATTTTAAGAGTGAAGGGAAGCCACTCAAGGATCTCCTTCATGAAGTATCCTGTGTATATAAACATACATGTAACATAGATTCTTCCTTTTTCTCTCCTACAAAAATTGGGTTGTATTATATGCTTGTTTTGTACCTGTATTTTTTTATCATTTGCCCACTATATTGGTTATCAATCCATTTTACGTTTTAGTTCATTTAGAACCAGTCACCTGGTGATGACAGCTAGTTGTTTGCATTCTTTTGCTTTTTACAAGATTGGCTCTAACACCCATTCTTGGATGTATGTGGCTCGATCTGTACACTCTATTTTTAGAAGTGGAAAATATAGGTCAAAGGTTAAGTACTATGTCTAATTTTACTGATGTTACCAAGTCACTCCCCAAACGCTTGTCCCACAGTATGCTCTTTACCAATCCTGGATAAGCTGCCTTTGTGCCTACATCCTGGCCAAACATACATCATTAGCCCTTTTTGATTTTTGCCAATGAAATAAGGGAAGTGAAGAGATGATACCAGGGTAGTCCGAGGGGAATCCTGACCAAGAGACAGAGGTGAGGGACTAATTAGAGGATAGGAGGTGAGAGAAGATAGGATTTAAGTTTAAATTTAGATGTGACACTCATAACTTTCTGCTACTTACTGTGTGGCAGGCAAGGGCCTGACCAGCAGTGCCCCTGTCAATCCTTCTAACCACACTAATAAATGCTATTACAAACGATTCCTAACTTGATAAGGAACCACAAAATACCCCGGACAGCCGAAGCAATCTTTTGTAGGTCTCTTTTTTTTCTCTTTCTTCTTTTTGTTATTATTATCCCCCATTTGACTCTGATGCCCAGTCTCTGTCCACTGTACCTCCCATATCCTTATTCGTAGTTGAGGAAACCAAGGTGTTAAGTGAGGTATCCAAGATCTCAAAACAAGTTTAGCTGGACAAGGATTCCATTTCCCAACTCTGCATGCACTGCATTGGGCCAGGGTTCTGGTCTGTACCATTGAAGCCACAAAGGATCTGAATATATCTTCAGGGTGCATTTCATCCACAGTTTGAGTTTAATAGTTGAGTTGAATTCACTCATTTCCTGTAGTAGAAGAGGTTTTGTCATAGTTGAATGGATATGATCTTACACATACTTCATTTTTCACACAGTCAGTACGTTCTCTGGAAAGTTCTTCCTCAGAGATTCTCTGTTTCTTTCCACAAGAACTACTGTATTTACCCAAGGAGCATTCTTGATAAAAGCTCCGTGAGATAAAAGCCCTAAGCTCCTTGGGATTTTAAGATTTTCTGATAAAGGATCATGCAGCCCCTCCTGAATGCTACCCTTAGTCCTCTGGAGTCTTAAAATTGGCCTGTAAATCTCTCCTGGAAACGCTCTTGGAGACTGGGGCTGGCATCCGTGCCCTCTTCCTCATTGTTTTCTGCTGCTTCAGAATTCAGGATCACTGAGATGACAGGTTTCAGCTAGGATTTCCTCATTTTCCACTTGTTTCAGAGTCCAGGATCTCTTAGGGGCACATCTGGGCAGTTTCCACTTGAATCAGAGATGAGACACTAAAGACTTTCAAATTTAATGATTATAAGAAGCATTCAGTTAGAACATAAATCCCCAGTGAGGAGGTAACTCCTAAAGGGCATAGAAATTTTGTTGATCCTCCTTATTGGAAGGGTGGGACGGTGACTGAGAATGTGATGAAAAGATAATAAATAAACCTTTTGTGTAGGAAAAGGTATAACTTTTTTTTTAATTAAAAAAGTCTAACTTTTGAATTGTGCTCATTGGAAGATGTCCTGATGATGGTTATCCTTTTAGGGCAGAGCAATGGTGTCCTGGAGAAATAGCCCCCAAATGTATTTGCCCAAAGCAAGTGAAGTGTCAATGTGTTAAAGAATGAAATTTGAGAGCTGAGATGATTTTAAACATTAACTGACCCAAAGTCCAATTTTATAGAAAGGAAACTGAGGCATAGTAAGTATATGTGATTTAGCCAAGAAGACACTTCTGTTGAGTTTCAGCTGAGACTAGAACCAAGCTCTCCTGTCTTCATTCGTTGTGTGGTTTAATTTCCGTTATGTGATCCGCATTTTATAATCTGCTGAGAGAATATGTCAGTTGTGTCAGTTTGTTTTCCTAAAGTGGACAAGGACTTATTTTTACAGCTGTCTTAAATAGACCTAACTGCTCTTAACTAAAGAAAGGTTCATAAATAAGAAGACTAATATGTTAAAAAAAAATGGTTCTGATAAAATGGGTTGAGTGATTTTTTTCCACAGGAAGCTTAGCTGATCGGTAGGATGTGTGATCTTTGTTTTGTTTTAGAAATTGCCCTTTCCACTTTTAGGTTTGCAATCAATGAATAAGGGCTATGTATTTACACTGTTTACTGAAGTCAGGAAACTAAGTAATGTTTTCTTTGTGAATGATCAACTGCTCAGGGCTTGTTTCAAATTAATGATATAAATAATCTAACAAGGTCTTTCAGTGTACAGTCCTTAGAGCAAACAAAATGCAATGTGTTTTTATAACCAGATAGCTATTTGATTTTTTTTCTCTTTCCCACATTTGGATATAGATTGATATAGAATTACTTAAAATGCTGCATATAAATTAAACATTAAGAGGGAGATACAGAGAGGCTAAGCTGCCCCATTATAATCTTCAGTCCCTGCCTCAAGGACACTGCATCTCATATCACATGTCCTTCTTTTGAAAAGTGATCACCAGGGTTCAAGTAACATTTAAGCATAGCAGGCAACTGCATAATTTATGAGCCGTTTCTTGGTTTGTTTTGTGTTCTTAGATGAAGGAAAACAGAAGACTTTTCTTATGTTAGCTCTCTCTTACTCTTTCCTTCCTGCCTTTGCAGATCGGGGCCCTGAAGGACTACTACCACTTCCACCACAGCAGGACGATTAAAAGGTCAGTTCTCTCAAGCAGAGGAGCCCACAGTTTCATTTCAATGGAACCAAAGGTAAGAAGAACCAGTTGGGTGGGGACCAAGAGGCAGAGCTTCTGCATTTTTCATTGGTAATATTACACTAGGAACTGGTGACTAGCGTGAAGGCTTAAATTTCGAGAGCTGTCACACTGTCCTTTAGTCCAGTGTCTTCGCCTCTTCTTCAGACAAAAATCGGCAGTAGCTTGATTTTTATGGAAGTGCCCTTGCTATCCCAGTTGAACAAGAGCTCAGGGTTATCCGAAGTAGGAGCTGTCATGGAGAAATGAGAAGGAGTTTGGGCGGGGGAGCAGATGGAGGTTGATTCAGAAGCATTGAAGGGTTAAGAATACCATGCCATCTGCCTGTTTGCATGCTGATCTGATGTTCTATCCAGGCTTCATCGAGGATCTCTTCCAGGACCCTGAGGTCAGACCCCAGGTCACCACGAATCCTTGCCATTTCAGTTGGCATTGCTAGAGCCATGCCATTGGCAGCCCAAGACCTAGACAGTGTCTGACCAGGAGGGATTCTGAGCATGGAAGGGTTGAAGTCTGGCTGCTTGTCTTGGGGCCTCATCAGGGGTCTTTCTTGCACATCGCCTGGACCCTAATCCTTTGGGATTGTACAGAAAACATACCCCTGGAGAACCTGGCAGGACATAGATGTTGAGGTTCTCCTGATCCATTTTAGAGAGGTGGGGTAGCTTTGAAATGGGACATAGGAAGCTGGCAGGTGTTAGGGGAAAACAGACTAATAATTGGCAACTAGAACTCTGAGAATGAGTGAGCTGTCTGTCCTTATTAAGTTGGAGGAAAGGGTTAACTGTGACAGAGAACTGCTTGACTTTCCAGATGTGCTGAGTCAAGAGAAGGAGAGGGTGGCTGTACCAGCCTGGCCCGGTTCCTCCATGGGCTCGCTGTTCACTATCTACTGGCTAGGAAGGGTGATTTGGGTTTACCATTTGAACTCATTTTTCAGTAAGTTGGTCGTCAAGTCTCTACCACTGAGCATAGCAATCTCACCTAGAGATTCCTTGAAAATTGTTTTCCATATTAAAGCAAAAATGCCCTTCTTTACATTAATATGCGAATCAGTTTTGCACCTTGGAGCCCTGCGCTCTGTAATGTGCCATAGTTCACCTTCATTTTGTTCTGGAATGTTATCACACAGCACTCATGACTGAAATTGTATCTTGGTGGTGAGAAAAAGCACATTTGTTGTTGGGCCCAATCTTCTGTGGGTTATAGGCACGTCCCTGTCCCCTAATACTTAACACCCTGGCGGCCTGTGGATTATGTATGTATATTTTCTTCCCCTTCATCTCTATTCTGAATTAAATGTTACTGGGAAAGCAGTCTGTGAGGATGTTCTGCAGCTGCTGAAGTTTTTGAAGCAAAGTCACGTTTCTCATCTGTTCGCTTTTTTGAAGCGTTCTTTAACTTTGGTAATTAGGATGATTTTAATTTCAGACCTGATGTGCGTAGTCAATGTGACTTTGAAAAACCGACTGCTGATTGGGATGGGAGGTAAGAACAGAACTGAATATGGAGCTGTTTCCACCCTCCACGTCACCTTGGGGAGAAGCTTGCTCTTCCCTTCTGATCTCCGTGCCTCAAGTACCTCATGCAGGACCCAACAGAGACCCTGGATGCTGGGACACGTGGTGCCTGGCACGTGTGTCCTTCCTCACCCAGTCCAGAGGAACAGGGCGGTTTCAGGCCAGCCCTAGGGTGCCTGTCTGATTCCCCTCCCTCCTCAGTATGAAGAATACCCAGGTAGGACCGCATCTTACTCCTCATCCTGATGCCGCCTGCCCCTCATTCCCGCCCAGCTGTTTATACAATTCTACCGGCTTTGCAGATGGAGTACCTCAGATTGGGGCTCTCTCTCAGCTTCTTTCAGACATTTCTTAAAGCTCAGTCATTCCCTCCATTGGCCATTTCTTGAGCCTCTGGTATCTGTCAGGCCCTATGTCAGGCTCTGGGGATTTGGGGATCTGGTGGTGCCCTCAGGGAGCTCACTGCCGTCCCCCACAGTAGCTTTCAGGGAAACACAAAGACACTGCAGTGCTTCTCAGTGTTGAGGCTGGAGGGACAGAGGAAATGGGGGTTGGCTACATTCCTCCTCTTTCTCCAGCTTCTTGAAAAGCTCGGGCCCACTTAGGTTAGATTTCCTTTCTAATTTCAGAAAACTTTCTTTGCAGAGAAGTTGCAGAAGCATCATGAAGAATTCCTTTATTCACTTCCCGGGTCCCCCCAGTGTTGGCGGCTCCGTGTTGCACTGTGCCATCCTTAATCATGTCCCCCTTCTTGTGTCTGTTCAGATGCACACACATGTATCTATTTTGAAAATTTGGATCCAAATTGCAGACATGGTGGCCCTTCTTTACGTACTTCACCATGCATTTCCTAAAACCACAGACGTTCTGTTACATATCCCAAAGTACAAAGTTAATATTGTGGTTAAGTCTGGATATTAACATTGACTCAGCATTATTATCTAATGTACAGATTTTATTCAAATGTTACCAGTTGTCTCTTTTCTGGGCCAGGTTCACATTAGTTGTCATGTGTCCCATGTCCCCAAGGGAGCCTCTGTCACAATTCCTGCTGTTTACCTTTCTTTTTTTCTTTCACGATCTAGACTGTTTTGAGGGGTGCTGGCCAGTTATTTTGTAGACTGTCTTTCAAGTTGGGTTTGTCAGAATCTACATGATTAGACTCCCGTTTGGCAGGAACCCCGGGGAAGTGCTGTGTTCTTTCCAGTGCGTCAAATCAAGAGGCACATGGCACTGATTTGTTTCATTACTGGTGATTTTAACTTCGGTCCCTTGGTGTCTGCCAGGTTTCTTTACTTTACATACGATTTCCCCCTCCAAATTAATGGATGTTTTTGTGGAGGAGATACTTCCTGTGGGCGGACTTTGTATTTTTCACTCCCAGCAGCCCTCACTGGGAGTATGCAGTGTCTGCGTGACGTGCTTCCTCGGTCAGGTCTCCTTCCCTTTCATCATGGGTGTGAGTGTGGTGGGTGATTTGTGTGCCGGAGTGGAGGCACATTTGTGACTGGGGGGGTGGGACCGTGTAAAATGGCTGGGTGGAAGACACTGGTGGTACGTAAAGTTATTTTTGTTCATCCTCTTCTCCAGAAAAGGAAAACACACACGGTGAATTGCAGGGAATGCACACACTCAACAGATCCTGGCTTTTACTTGATGTTGTAAATTGCATGGCTCCTTCTTGCCCCTGCTTTTGTTTTTACTTAGAGGGTTCTAAAGAGGGAAATGCAAAGTAGCAGCATTGTCTAAGAACAACCCTCCTGGTGCTAAGAAAATTCTGTGGTCAGTTGGGCCACATGAGCCCAGAGAACAGGAATAGCCTGGGTTCCCATATGTTAACATTATGTTATGATTAGCTTTTTAAATGACAGGGATTCATGGACTTCTAAGATAGCATGCTATACAATAATAACACAGTTCTGTGCAAAAGTGTTGGGACACTATTACAGCAGTCGGAAGGGTGTTCTTGACTCACCAGCTTTTCATCCAAAGACCTAAGCTAAATTTGAGAAGCAGCAGTCTTGAATTAACATTCTCAGAAACCTCTCATTAATCTGTTTAGAAACCTTTGCCAGCCCTGTGGCACTTTGGTCAAGGAGTGTGTTATCTGTAGGAGCTTTTTGGAAGAGAAGTTCTTTCTGGTTCTTTAGCTGCCCGTGCAGACTTGGGCAGGGGTGGAGGACATACTTTTCTTTCATTCTTCTCCTTCTTACCCAGAACAGAAAAACCAGAATCCTACATTTCTCATCAGTGTAGACTTGTAAAAGTAAAAACCATAAACTATGCATGTCCCGTCCACGTGTAGTTAATATGCAAGCACAGCTTCTGCCTTTGCCTGTTAGGTTTTATCTGCAAGAGTCTGTCTGGTCTTTGAATCTCTTCTCTTTTCCTGTCTTCAGATATATTTATAGATCTATTTTATCCAAATCTAGGCTAGAATCGCCTCCTGCTCTGGGGTCAGGGATGTGTACCTCTCCTGTCTTGTGTTTTCCTTCAGTTCATCTTATCAGCCCGCTACCTTGTATGGCTGTGTATTTCGATTACAGAAAAACTGTTGCTTTGCTGTAATTTATTGTGGAATCATAGGCTCCTCAGAATTAGACTTATCTCTTCCTATCCAGTGCTTGCATACCCTCCATTGTGCTCCTAAAAGGATTTTTCTTTTACATCTGTTAAACATGCCCAGTGACAGAGAGCTCAGTAGTAGACAAAGCAAACTGTTCTGTAATTAAAGAGATACACTATGCTGAGCTAAAATATGCTCACCTGTAACTTCTACCCATTGGATCTCCTTTTACCTTCCAGACTTACACCTAGCAGCTCTTTAAATATTTGAAGCCCCTCGCTCAGTGTCCTGGATCAGCACTGGTTTCTTTGCAAATGCGATCCCTCTGTAAATGTGGCCCAGAATTAAGCTCAAGGTGTTAACTTATAGAGATATTGCCCATTTGTTGCATTTATGCATAAGCCATTTCCTCTAAAGAACATTTTAGAGCTGAGCATTCAAGCATTGTATAGTGAACAGCTACAGGGGTGTAGGAAGAGGGCAGGAAGGGAGGAGTGGAGTAATTGGAGGTAGTTAGCAAGATCAGATGAAATCAAAACTGTGGAAGAAGAAAGGTGAGTTGGTAAGGTCAAGTTCCTTACTAATCTCAGTTGGTACCCGTCGTGTCCGGGACTTGAAGATCATGTCGAGTGAAGGAAGAGAACAGGAGTACTTCACTGTGCGTAATGTTCCTGTTCCTAGAACGTTGTACAGATCTACTTCTTATCAGTCAAACCCCTTTCCCCATGGATTCACTTTGTAATTTCAGAATGATTTGATCTTCGCTGCTGATCGATATGTAATTGATCCACAAAGACCACTAGCACGTTAGTTAACTCCTTTTCTGAACTCTGAAACAAACCATTTCTACGTTGTTTGCACGCACCTGACCTGCCAGGGGACCTTTGGAGGTAGAGCAGTCTTATATAG